ATCTCACAAAGACCTACAGAAAAACCAGAACCTAAATGCACACAAACTAATCAACTGAACAAGACACAGGTGAGAGGGGAGGAGACAACACCGGGCACCAGGTGCACACAATCAGCAGAAACAGACAAGATGGGAGGGGAAACACAGAGACAGGAAACCAAAGACAGAACCAGACATGACAAAAACAAAACACAGACAGATCGTAACAATATCGTTCCAATTGTACTGAACTAAGCCAGAAGAACGTCTCATTTCGTAGACCGCTCGGTTTGCTGTTCCTTCAATTTATTTTGGACGAAGACTTAGCGTGAGGAAAGGCAAGTGTGGCGAGTGTGGCGAGTGTGGCGTGAGATATGGCGTGACTCTCACGCTCAATGCGTGAGTGTTGGCAGCCCTGGGGAAAGCGTTAGCCTGGTCGTTAGCTTAGCATAAGTAACTTGATACTACAGCTGTCAAATCTGGTGAAGTAAAAATAACAACAGTGTTTCTAAAATGTATTAAATTGTGTAAATTAGCATTACATTGAAAATAGTCACGAAGGCTACAGTGCAAGAACGTCAAAACTGTGCTAAAGTACAGTGCTTGAGTTATATACTACCACTGACAGTATGGTATGTGGGGAAATCAAAATCTCGAGAAGGAAGTGTTCACACAGCATCAAAGCAACAACGTTGAGGAATATGTGTCCCATTGTTCAAGTTGGAATGAGGTTTGGCACCATGCCTCGGAACTCCTTTGACTCCGGCGCTGTAGTAAAATAGTGTTTACAATCCCTGGATGGTGTCATGTCAGTGTACATAGACGAGATGTCTCACGATGCCTATGGAATAATAAAATAACGTGTTACAGCTTGCATCCATAAACCCATGTAAAGCTTTGTCTGTAGAACTTCCTCTACTTCCACATACTCCCAGGCTCTGTTGCATCCCTCTCAGGGTATAAAATATCTCTCTGTGGTTGCCATTAACATTCACCCAGGAAGCTCGATCAGTAGTCAATTCTGGTTTCCCCTTCTTTTTCTAATTAGGCCCCGGGCCTTATGTGGGGTAGGCCTGTGCATTCTGGCTGAGAAGATGCCCTGAGAGGGGATTTGCGGTTTGGGAAGCTGGGTCTGGAAAGAACAACTGTCTATTGGAGCCAGCTACTTGCCCCTCTCTGATTTGACACATGCCCTACGCCAGGGGTAGGCAAGTAAGTTTGGCCGTGGGCCAATTTTTTTCTGAACCACAAGATGGCGGGCCAGAACATAATCAAAGCCTAATTCAAGGAATGTATTTTGGTAAGAGGGCGCAGCGCCCCTGTTCCCCGGTTTAGAAAAAACTCTGATATCGCTGATAACCCTCCCCATCAACACTCTGATGCGCAGTCAGATCCGCTGATTGGTTCACTGATGATACAGGCGCCCAATCCAGAGCCTCTGGCTATACCCGCCCAAAGGGAGGCTCGTCCTCTCTAGCCCCATTTCAGTCCTCTGTTAAAAGCCAGGGCTATTATCTGTATTTTAACAGACTTATCTTTTAAATTGAGGTGTATTTATTGTTCTCTTCTAAGTTTATTTTTCTCTGAAATTTTAGGGAGGATGGTCCTCCCTTTCCTCAATGGACGAGCCTCCACTGAGTAAAGTAGAGTTATTAATTAACTAGGTAGTAGTGTTATTTAACATACTTTTATTGTCAAGTATTGTCAAGTTCTCTGGGTTTTTGGCATTTATTTGAGTGTTTGTCCACATTTGAGAGGCTCGAGGGGCAACAGAGGACTCATGGACAACTGGAATCCTTTTTTCCTTTTCTTTATTTCAACTTTTCAAGGACACATTAGGATTCTTTCAGGTTGAAAACCTTTGAAAAAAAAAATTACAGCAGGTTTTGCTTTGCAATTTAATATATTATAACCTAAATTAATCAGTAACCAAGTATTTTACTCAAACTCAATGTATTTAATAGTTAAATAAGTACTTTAATTGACCTGGTTCCCCAGAACCACACATTTGCCTTATGTGACCCGCTCTATCGAAATCAGGGTCCGTTACAGTTTGTTTTCATCTGATTTCAAATAAACAAAGTCTTGGCTTTCAGAATATTAAACTTGTTTCGGCAAATTCAGATGATAAATACAACTTTGAAGCTTGAAACGGCATAATTACAACCGGAGAACGGAGTAACTTGACGTCACAGCAGGCATAACAACAGCCGGTGTTTTTTGTGAGTGTTTTCCCCGGGAAACAAACACAATACACACAAACGCAAAAATACACAAACACAATGTTCCCTTCCACCTATACATGCGAGTCGTCCTTTCCTTCAATGAATGCGATAAAGACGCACGAGAGGAATCGATTGACGCATGTCGTGTACCGTGTTAGTCGTTAGTCCCGACGCCCTAACGTGACTGCGCTATCACCTAGTTACCACCTGTCGCGCACCACGACTTTATCGTTGTAAGCCACACCACCAAACTTTTTTTATTGGTGGTCGAGTGATTTAGTTTGCATTCAATGATGAATATACACTTGTCATTGTTTCAAGTCCGTTTTGTAACTGTTGTTTTAACCTCTTCGGCGAACTAGTACTCCGCTCCCTACACACTCCGCGAACGTATAACGAGGACTTTGCTGTCTCGTTTGTGCGGTGTAATCTATTATTAATGTTACTCGGTAAGTAAGTTTTTATATTTTTTATATTATCCGCTAATTTATGTTAATGCTTGTCCCGAACCATGAGTGAATTTACACTTTTGACTGTAGAGGGTAGCGCAGCGAAATAAAAGACCTATTAGACCACTTTATAACATGCAGTGAAAAAATTAGGCGCTCCGTCAAGAGATCCCNGTACCGAAGTGGGCCGGTCGAGAGTCCCGGGCTGATTTTTAGTCCCAGTCCACCACTGGCTACATGACCGTATGATCGCCCATATTGACGCACCTAATTCCTAAACTTCTAACAGATACAAAATAAACCGATCCTTATGAGCTCTCAGACACGTTCAAAATTAAACTGTCATCGCTGTCTGAGCTTGCTGCTGTGTGCGCCATCGTGTGTTTACATGCAGATGCTGGGATCCTGAACGGTGCAGCTGGAGCGCTGTGCCCGCATTGACGTCACCCATAATTTGGCGGGACTTGAAGAATCCCCGAGAAGATCCAGGAAATGGTCAACATTGAAGGGCAGATTAATGGTTATCAAAGTACAAATATCCAAAATCAGTTCAGTAACGGTTTTCAAGGGGACAATATTTACTCAAATTGATGGGTTTGGATGATGGGGGAAAATCGTGTCACAGGCTCTTTAAATATCTGCCACAACATAAGTAACCGGAGCAAAGTAACTCGAACTGTTGCGTACAGTCCGCGACACTATGAGTGCAGACGCTGACGTGTCCCACTTATCATTCATAGGATCACAGCATCAATCATAATATATCATATATGACCTTATCTTTGCCAGCTTCAACGAGGTATCTGGCTGTGCAACACTTACATTGTTGCATACTGTATGCAGAAGTGTTATTTAAAACATTTTAAGTTGACCAAACACTCAAATGTTATTATAATTATAATATATATTTATATATATATATATTATTTTTTATATAAAAATATAATTGGGAGGGATGAAACCCTCTTTAATGGTCACACACGCAGAGCACACCGTACACACAGTGACATTTGTTCTCTGCTTTTAACCCATCCTAGTACCAGGAGTCTAGTACTAGGAGCAGTGGAGTATTAAAGGTGACCTATCATGCAAAATGCACCTTTGTACGTCTTTTAGACATGAATATGTGTCCCCGGTGTGTCAGGGAACTCACCAAGTGTCAGAAAACACAACCCTCTCTCTTTTCCTCCATACCCAAATCTCTAAAAACGGGGCTGCAACGGATTTGATACTGTCACGATTCTTATGTCATGTCACGGTTTGAGTTTTGGTGTGTCTAGTTTTGGGGTTATTTTGCTGTTCTGTCTTCCCTGTCGTTAGTTTCCCTGGTGTGTCTGATTGTCTGATTGTGTTCGCCTGTTGCCCTTGTGTTTCTCCTCCCCTGCCCGGCTGTTTCTCGTCTCGTGATTACCCCTCCCTGTATTTAGTCTTGTCTCTTCCTGTGTTCGGTGTCGGGTCATTGTTTGTCTTACCTTTCCTGTCACCCTCCGTGTTTGACTGTCGGTTTTGTTTGGAAGCTCATGCTACGGATTCCTCGATGTTAAGTTCTTTCTTGTTTGCTTATCGTCTACAGCTTTTTGGTAAATAAAGCTCGCCTTTTGTTATTTTACCTTTTTTTGTCTTTTTAAAACTGCATTTGAGTCCTAAAACTCCCGGATCCTGACAGAATGAACCGACCACAAATGGACTCAGCAGATTCAGCTTTTTTGATGCTACAGGCGGAACGTCTTTGGTACTCTCTGGAGTACATTTTTTTTACGTGGTATGACGCCTCATCTATACGGGGTAGAGTGGCTGCTTTGAAGGATGCACGCCAGGAGGTTGCTCGCAAGCCCTGGCTCAGGAGTTTGTTGCCTGAGTGGCTACACATTTTTACCAGTAGTCCTTCTCAAGCCTCTAACCCTTTCCTGGGATCCGACTACTATCCTGGTAGAGGTCCACGGTGTCTCCAAAGGGCCTCTAGGAGACGCAGGGCCAGGATTCCAGCCCCTGCCCCAGCAGCCATGGTTCCGGCCCCAGTTCTGGCCCCAGCAGCCATGGTTCCAGCCTCAGTCCTGGCCCCAGCAGCCATGGTTCCGGCCCTAATTTCGGCCCCTGCTGCCATGTTTCTGGCTCCAGTTTTGGCTCCATTACTGGCTCCCCAGCCGACGCCAGCCCCACGTGTCATGTCAGCGGTTCGGCCCACTCCAGCCCCTCGTGTCCTGTCGGCGTTCCGGCCGACTCCAGCTCCCTGTGTCCTGTCGGCGTATCGACCAACACAAATCCCCTCTCAAGTCCCTACCCAATGTCCTGGGCCGTTGGAGGTTCCGCTGGAGGTCCTGCCGGGTCCATGTCCTGTCCCGTTGGGGGTCCCGCCGACTACTGTTCTGCCGGGGGTCCTGCCAACCCTATGTCCTGTGCCGTTGGAGGCCCCGCCGACTACTCTTCTGCCGGGGGTCCTGCCAACCCTATGTCCTGTGCCGTTGGAGGCCCCGCCGACTACTCTTCTGCCGGGGGTCCTGCAAACTCCTGTTTCGTAGGGGGTCCAGCCGACACCTGCTCCGCCGGATATCCTGCCAACGCCAGATCCTGTCCTGTTGGGGGTCCCGCCGACACCTGTCCCGCCGGGGGTCCCGCAAACACCTGTTTCGTTTGGGGTCCAGCCGACACCTGCTCCGCCGGATATCCTGCCAACGCCAGATCCTGCCAACGCCAGATCCTGTCCTGTTGGGGGTCCCGCCGACACCTGCTCCGCCGGGTTTCCTGCCAACACCATGTCCTGTCCTGTTTGGGGTCCCATCAACACCAGCCCTTGCTCCGTCGTGGGTCCCACTGACACCGCGCCTGTCCCGCCGGGGGTTCCACCAGCTCCTGCCCGTCCTTGTGCCCGGCCCGCTGAGTTCCCCGGCCGCGGCCTTCGCCCTCGAGCCCGGCCATCTGAGTGCCGCAGTCTTCGCCCTCACGCCCGGCCCCCTGAGTTCGCCCGCTGTGGCCTTCGCCCCTTTATGAACTCTGCCTTGCCCCCGGGCCGTCCGCCTGAGACCCCCACCACGAACTCTGACTTGCCCCCGGGCCGTCCGCCTGAGACCCCCACCACGAACTCTGCCTTGCACCCGGGCCGTCAGCCCGAGACCCCTTCCTGATCCTCTGCCGTGCCCCCGGGCTGTCAGCCCAAACCCGTCCTCCAGACCCCCTCCACCCACCCTTTTGGAAATGTTGGACTTTATTATGGACGTCTGGGATCCGTCCCTTGATTGTGTTCACCTGTGGCCCTTGTGTTTCTCCTTCCCTGCCCGGCTGTTTTTCGTCTTGTGATTACCCCTCCCTGTATTTAGTCTTGTCTCTTCCTGTGTTTGATGTCGGTTCATTGTTTGTCTTACCTTTCCTGTCACCCTCCATGTTTGACTGTCGGTTTTGTTTGGAAGCTCATGCTACGGATTTATGGATGTTAGGTTCTATCATGCTACGGATTTCTCGATGTTCTGTCTTGTTTGCTTATCGTCTACAGCTTTTTGGTAAATAAAGCTCGCCTTTTGTTATTTTACCTTTTTTTTGTCTTTTTAAAACTGCATTGTCCTAAAATTCCCGGATCCTGACATCACTGTCCTCAGCACCAACACTGTATTTGATTCTTCTGGACTCATTTCTAATTTCCTTTTCCTAGAAATCATGATGTTGGTCAACAGCTGGTGAGTATTCATTAAATAATGTATGATGGTAAAGCCCAATGAAAGAGCTGCAAAGTTTAAATGAGTCTGACTGGAGAAGTCAACAGCGTGACGTCAACTCTCATCCAGTTTTTCTCATATCCATTATCGCACCAACTGCACATGTCATACCTGTCACTTCCTGTGCGTCAGTAACCATCTGAGAACACGTGGAGACGAACGACTCCAAACCTTCATTCGTTATGTCTCATTGTGTCTCAGAGGCAGTGTCAGTGTACAAAGACAAGAAGCCTGCAGCACCCCTGGGTGACACATCAGCACCCGCCACCTGCTCCTGACCCATGGCACAGTCGTCCACCATGTTTCTGCCGTCTCACCAAAGGGAACCGTCAGAGCCACAGTGTGTCACTGTCACACACACCAGCTGGTGTTACACAACACAGCTGCCACAATGGTTTTTAGTGATGGCACTGGAGTTGCCCCAGCATGGATACGTTTGAACAGATTCTGGGCTGGACCCAAACAGGCTTGGTTTTTGTGTGGTTCCCTAGATCAGTTTTCATGACAGGAAGTAGGTTCTTCTACATATAACTCTGGAAAAATGATATTGATTAGTTGAGCTGCAAATGATAATTTCATTATCAGATTTTTTCCGGGTGCGATTTATTCTTATCCACATTTTCTTGAAATCCTAAAGGTTGTCAAACTAAAATGATGAACCCTATGGTGGTTTAGTTAATGTCAGTCCTACCTGTGCTAGCCAGGGTGGACTCAGATGGACTCTGGGACTTGCTTTAATGTTTGACCATGTATTTGTTAAAAACCCGTATTACTGCAAGCATCTTTTCAAAGTGACAGAATAGAATCCTAATACTGCGTGTTATGATCACTTTACTCCATACTATAACTCAAAACCTGTGTTGCCTCGTTGAAAATGGTAACGATGTTTGCAGCCTGAGCTATGATCACTTCTTGTGATTCAAAGTGGAGTGGGTTTCAGCATTCCTGTATTGTTTTTTATAATTACACTAAAATTGATTGAAATTGCTTATGTATATTAAAAATCAAAAGCACCTAAAACAGGCTGAATCAGGTGTCAGAATTACAAGAGAAATTGGGAGCTTGGGACCCTAGCCGTCATTGTAGGCATAGTAACAACAAAGGAGGCCTCAGAATTTGCCCTTTAAGAAACTCTGAAAAAGTATGCTGAATGTATTGAGAAGCTGAGGAAGTGCTGTGACAGTGAAGAAGGCTCACATTAACCAACATTAACAGTGGATTCAGGTAAACAAAGAGAGAGGGGGGGCTGGGGGATACATTGTTCTCTCAGCTGAGATTTCTGTTGATTTTGTGCAACTTCCATCACACACTGTGAGGAGTCTCAGGAGAGACAGCCCACTCTTAATCTCCGTCAATTATTTACTCTGTAAATACACCTGGCTGCTGTTCCTGACCTTTCACAGAGTTTGAGGCTTTTCAGTTAATGAAGAGCCATTTTGAAGCAGAAGCTGTGCCGGTGACCTCGCTCGCCTCTCACTGAAAACACTGCCACGTTTCCAATTTGCTACAAAAACAAACAAGACTGTATGGAAACTGTTGCCTAAACATCACAATTATGGACTGTAAGCCTCTAAAGACAAAATATATTTTTCACACAAAGGAAAAAAAACCTTTGGGGGAGATTAACTGTCAGAAAAAAATCTGACACTCAAGAAAAACAATGAAATCAAGGCGTGCCTAATGAGATGAAGGACAGGAGGAGGAGAGCAATCTTTCAAAGCGATTCATGTTCTATCCAGGAAAATGAGACTCCTTCTTCTGTCTATCTGCTACAATTAACTGCTCACGTCAAAGAAGAGCTCCTGAAGCGTGAAACAATGAGGGACGTATGGTGGTGTTTCTGCTCTCCCTCTGACAGGAAGCCTCCTCTCAGCAGGCTCTAGCAGATCTTCTCTTCCTGCACTGATTCCATCAGGATTATGGAGGAAATGGCAGAAATCAATGCACTGAGGATTTGGCCTGTTATGTGGAGGATCCGCAGGAGGAGAACCAATCCGGTGAGGCGAGGGTATTAGCTGTAATCTCTGGGCGCAGTCAGAGGGAGTCTCTCCATATCCCTCTGCCTTCAGACTCTTACCTGGAGAGAAACTTCACACAGTGTAGCTGCCAGACCCTCAGAGCATTACTGCACTCTGCAGTCTGTAGTGTGGACTTAGATGAACCTGGGGAACAGTTAGTGAGGCAGGACATGTGGGTAATGAATCACGTGTATAACTCACTGTGTTCTGAAAAACAGAAAATACATGTATTTAGTGTTGCTGTAAACTGCTCTTTCCAGTGTTGTAAGCAATTCTAATCACTGGGTCCATTTGTTTTGGAGATGAGAATTTAGTATTTATTAAAAAAAATATTATTTCAAATTGTATTTCACTGTTGTTGGAACAAAACTCAGGCATCTGGGGCCGTATTTACAAAGGATCTTAGGGCTAAAACTAGCTCCTAACTGGCGAATTTAGGAGAAACTCCTAAACATAATGGGCGTGTCAGTCTTAAATTTAGGACTCCTAATTGTATTCACTCAGAGCAATTCACAAAGTATTTTAGGCCTAAAAGTAGCACCTAAGTTTAGGAGAGCTTAAAAGTCCTCGAGAGGACTCCTAACTCAGTAAGACCTATTCACAAAGAATCTGAAAATGGCTGCGAGACGAAATGTTTTGGAGACAATGGAAGACTGTGAATTGATCAAGAGATATAGGCTAAATCGTGAGGGTATCAAACTTGTTGTGGAATTAGTGCGGGATGCAATAACATCCCCGACTAACAGGAATAACCCGATTAGTCCGGAAATAAAATGTTTGGCAACACTACGATATTTAGCAACAGGGAAAATGCAACTTTGCAATGCCGACGATTTAGGAATATCGCAACCATCAGTCAGCCGTGCCATAAACCAAACCATCAACGCGCTCTCTAGACCACATATCATCCAACAGTTTATCCGGTTTCCTTTGGACAATCAACAACTACACAGGATCAAAGCCAACTTCATGGCAATTGCAGGTATGCCCGGTGTGGTCGGTGCTATTGACGGGACGCACATAAAAATAATTGCGCCATCAAAAGATGAGGACGTGTTTGTCAATAGAAAGAAAGTACATTCCATCAACACGCAGATTGTTTTTGATGCAACTTTTAACATTCTTGATGTTGTTGCAAAGTGGCCTGGATCTACCCATGATTTGCGTATTTTAATGGAGAGCGGTCTGAGGCAGCTTTTTGAGAGGCACCATGTACCAGTTGGGTGTCACTTGCGTTTAACTTTGTCTTCGCTTTCATTCATCATGATAGGGGGACTTGAACGGCGGTATGGGCTGTTATTGAAAGTGTTTAAGTGCTGGAAATATGCTCATTGGATAATAGTTTGCAGGGTGCTTTTAATTGCCCCCTTGATTTAATGCAATTTACGTATTTGTATTGTTTGCTCTCTCTTTAACGTGCATATACAACGTCATTATCGTGGTCTGCACAAACTTGTCATCATGCGTGTATTCTGCTAACTGCACTGTCCATAACTATTTGATAGGAATACATTTCTAGCCTAGGCTATTTCCTTGTTTTTCGGTGATTTGGTGGGCTCGTTTGTGGGATGTTGCGGATGAGTTTCACAGAGACCGCCTGCTCTGAACAACCAATCACCGTACTGACCGCTTCTAAACTCATGCACGAGACGCGATGTAATCCATAGCAACGGCGCGTCACTCTTAGTTCACTCTTAGTGATTTATCCTTAGTATGAGTAGGTCTCAGCGGCTTTGTGAATAACTTTTAAGAAAAAACTCCTACGTAAAATGTTTTAACGCGAGTTAGGAGCACTCCTAGCGGTAAGATAAAATGCTTTGTGAATACGGCCCCAGGACTCTATCTTCTGCATCACTGTCCTCAGCACCAGAACTGTGTTTGGTTTTAATCTGGACCAATTTCTAATGATTATTCATACAATTCAGGTCGTTCATCTAGCAGCTGGTCAGTTTTATTAATATAATGTAATAATGCCCACAGTGCTGCTTAGTATAAATGAGTCTGACAGGAACTGCACTGAACAGTTCAACATGTCCATTTGCATTAAATCATCTATTAATGTAAAATGTAAGAATAAATTATGCAGGCGGATTCAATCATGTATGTTCAAAATCAGAAAAGGTCAGTGAATGCAGGATAATCAAAACAGTTTGTGTTATATTTCTGTTATTTAGACAAGTAGAAATAGAAAGTAAGATATTGTGTTTTTTTTGTGAGACTGGGTTGGTGTTCACAATTGCCCTGTCCACGCTATATTTATAAGCAAAATATAATCAGAATAACCTGGAAATACAAGCAGGGTAGGAATTTCACGGCGGTCTGGCCGTTATGCCCCACAAATAATTGTATGTCCTACGGCCACCATGGCCTTTGTGCCCCTCACACTTTTAACATCTCGAAGTTGCTTTAAAGGTGTC